TTAGAGTTTACTTTTAGATTTATTTTCTACTTAAGGACCAGGCTTCTTTCTTATAATTGGGAATTATGTTGTTATTCGGGCATTTATGACATATCCCAGAGCCAAGGTACAGGTTGGAATGCATGACACCTATGTCTTTTGTAAGAATGATGGCATCCAAAATCAACAGTGACATAAGCCTGACATTTCAAGTGACTGGTCATCACTTAGAAGCTGTGGAGACTGCATGATGTAGAATTAAAATATATTTATTTTTAAAACCTGTTTTGTCATCCAGAGTCTAAAATGTGCCGAAAAAATAATTTTAGTCCCCACCCCCCCCCCACCCCCGCTTGTCTATAAATAACCTGGCTCTGAGTTTTGGAGGCCCACTTAGAGGTAACGCGAGAAGGGCCCGCTGGGGAGTCGGTAAAGCTGCAGGGAAGAGCTTGTCCACGCCTGAGCTTGGAGGAGGGGACATGCCAGTCCCCCTCCCCCAGTCGGCAGAGGACTTGGGCGTCCTGGATGTCAGGATTCAAAAGATGCCGCCTGCTGGAACTGGGGTAGGCACTGGAGACTAGACCTACCAGGACTCCACCATGGTCTGGCTCGTTAATTTTCCCCAACTATGTCCACCCATTCCCTCGGACTGTCAGTCAAATAAAAAGTGTCCCCCGCCTAGAATCCTGTTTTCTCCAGAAGTGCTTCCTGTAGACCAAAGGGGAAGACAAACTGTGTGTCCAGGCTTGAAGGAGGGTGGGGAGGCAGGTGGAAAGAATGGCGTCCCACCCTCAATAAATCAAAGTGCTTATGAGAAAAACAGTTTCAGCCGGGCTCGGTGGCTCAGCCTGTAATTCCGTGCCTTGGGAGGCTGAGGTGAGTGGATTGCCTGAGCCCACGGGTTCGAGACCCGCCTGGGCAACTTGGCGAGACCTCATCTCTACAATAAATCAAAAATGAGCCGGGCGTGGTAGCGCGCGCCTGGAGTTCCAGCTACTCGGAAGGCTGAGGCGGAAGGATCGCCGGAGCCCAGCAGGTCGAGGCTGCGGTGGCCGGGAGCGGCCACTGCCCTCCAGCCTGGATGACAGAATGAGACTCCGACTCAAAAAAAAAAAAAAAGAAAGAAAATCAAGAGTCTCTGCTGTTGACTATTGTTGTCTACACACCGTGCCTTCCTCTCTCCCCAGAGGGACTGGAGTGCTTGCAGTTGCTTGGACAGAAGGATAATGTATGGGGACAGCTTGACTTGCTGGGTCAGCCCATGGGATAAGATCTCCTGGAAGCACAGCTTGTTCTCTCTCTACCCTCTAGCTTTGTGGAATTGCTTCTCCCATTCCAGGACCTGGAATCCAAAATAAGGCTCCAAGAGATGGAGTCCAATCTAGTCATCGGGGCCAGACACAGCAGCTCACGCCTGTAATCCCAGCACTTTGGGAGGCCCAAGTGAAGTGCTTACTTGATGCCAGGAGTTTTAGACCAACCTGGGCAACAGAGTGAGACACTGTCTCTACAAAAAATACGAAAATTAGCCTGGTGAAGTAATGCATACCTGTAAGCCCAGCTATTCAGGAGGCTGAGGCAGAAGGATCGCTTGAGCGGAGGAGTTCAAGGCTGCAGTGAGCTATGATTGCCCCACTGCACTCCAGCCTGAGCAACAGAGCAAGACGCCTCATCTTAAAAAAGAAAAGCAAAAAATTAGTCATGGGGCAGAGGTCCTAAGTGTGGCAGAAGGGCCTCCAAGATCACACAGCAAGTCAGGGCTGGGACGGGAATGCAGCCCCTTAATCCAAATCTCTCGCACCATCAATGTTCCCACAAAAGGAACAAAATGTGAAGAGATGGTCTCTGGGTCCGAGTGCTGAAGCCACCTGCTTTTCCCCTCCTTGGCTAATCAGAGCACAAGACCACATCCAGCAAGCAGGCAGCTGCCCCAGCCTGGTTCCTCCATGCCTCAGCTCACCTCCTCTCTGGCTTCAGGGGTTCCCTTTTTTATGGGAAGAGCACTGGCCTAGGTCACACTGAGCAGAGGCCAGCGCACCCGAGCCAAGAGGAGACATCCAGAAATAGATGGGGGAGTGTCACGTTTCGAGCAGCTGTGAGGGGAGGTACGGGGTGGGGATTGACAGTATAAAGGAGAAACCTGTCCTCCCTTTCCCTGGTGGCTATGGCGAAAAACAGCTCCAGCTTCCCCCACCCCCAGGACAAGGCCTAGGTAAGGAGCATGCCACCCTCCTCCTGGGCGTTGGGCAGGGAAAGGGGTTTTTGAGCTAAAATTGGGGGGATGAATGGTGGAGGAATTTTGGGAGTCGTGAGAAAACATTTCAGGGAAACTTTGATGGGGAGGTTGAGATACCTAGGAAGGTATGGGACACTGGGAAGTTTGAGATTCTTGGGGAGAGATTTGGGGTCACATTCCCAGAAGGAAATGTCCATCGAGGGCCTGGATGGGGGGAAACTGACAAGAGCATTGCCCCGGGCAGGATGAGAGGAGGACAGGAGGGCAACTCCCCCGGGCTATGAGAAGGGACTGCACGGTGTCTCCACTCCCTCATGCCCATGCCCACCCATCACTCTGGCCCCCACTCCATCTTCCCCAACATTGGTCACCAAGGTAAGCAGTCTACCTGCTCTGCAGTGGCCCAGAAAGCCTCTTACACTCTGAAAACACTCTGGGGTCCCCACCTGTGTCTGGGTTTGGGCTGAGCCCTGCGGACACAATGAGTCATACTTGGTCCCTGTCCTCAAGGAACTCACAGGCCAGGAGAAGAGACAAATGCATGTAAGGGAAAGTACAGGGGCCCAGCCCCTGCAGGGTTTGGTGGTCCCTGGAAGGTATGGTGGTGTCGCAATTCTGTAGGAGGGATAGATACTAAAAGAAAGAAAGAAAGAGACTGGACTCTGTCTAGTGCAGAAGTCGTTTAATGGGACAAACTGTAAGCCTTTTATCCTAAATTTTCACGGGTTAAATCACAAGACTTTCACATGAACACAAAGCCAGGTGGTTGAGAGGCACCCCCCCAGATGTTTCCTCAAGCATGAGGAAGAACAATCCCAAAATTATCCTACTGTTCCTAATGCGTGGTTAATGTTCCTCAAAAATAATGCAACAATCTCCACTAGCATCATGATGTTCTATTAATCAATAACTTTTAAAGCTTATGCGTACACAACACCTAAAATGACTAACTTAAATCCTATTATCTTTTCTATTCTATGCTAATTTTACCTACACTATGGAAACTCTTAATTATAGCTCAAACCAGTTCCTAAAGAACGTGGCCCAGTCCAAAGATCACGCTGGGCCATTTCCGGGAACAATTGATTATAATCTCTTAGCAAAATGGTTACTCTAAAATCTTATATATCTATCTTAACTTATATAAAAGTTTCTAATTCCTAATCCTAATATATAAAGCTGATCATCAGCAATAAAGCTTCTAAAATAAAACCCAAATATAAACTGTAAATTGTACTAAGGCCAAAACCGCAATTAGTAGAAAATTGGAACAGTGAAATTTCTAAAGTTAGCTGTATTCTTATTAAACCTCAAAATATCATGTTTGATCATGCTTGAACTAACATAATTCCCTGACGTTAGCATGACATATTCTACAATACTTTCTATGAGTAAAATAATTTCAATTTCTATAATAAGTAGAAAACCCCTACACTAATTGTAGCTAAAACCGGTTTAAAAGAACGCAGCCCAGTCCAAAGTACGCGCTGGACCCTTAGGAGTGTGTCCCGGCTCAAAGTTCATGCTGGGCCATTTCTGGTAACTCTAGATAATCATCTATACCATCTAAAGATGAAAACAGCTCTCCATATGTATATACTAATTCTACAAATATACTTTTAAATCTTGTAAAGAAGTTTGTACCGTATTGAGCCACCGAGCCCGGCAGAATATTTCCATCTGGCAGAAGAATGTGCACCTGGAGATCCTCTAGAAGTGCCTGCGCAGATGTTTCTTTTTTTATGGACAAGGAGTTTCTTTTTAAAAACTGTCTGGTAACCGGGCTCGGTGGCTCAGCCTGTAATCCTGTGCCTTTGGGAGGTTGAGGTGAGTGGATTGCCTGAGCCCGCGGGTTCGAGACCCGCCTGGGCAACTTGGCGAGACCTCATCTCTACAATAAATCAAAAAGTAGCCGGGCGTGGTAGCGCGCGCCTGTCGTTCTAGCTACTCGGAAGGCTGAGGCGGAAGGATGGCCGGAGCCCAGCAGGTCGAGGCTGCGGTGGCTGGGAGCGGCCACTGCACTCCAGTCTGGGTGACAGAGTGAGACTCCGACTCAAACCCCACCCCCCCAAAAAACAAAAAAACTCTCTGGTCTTTCAAGCCCCTTGGTAGTTTCCTCTTGTTCGAATTCCTTTATTGTTTTTTTAAATCTGGAACATCTTATCTCTAAGGAAAAAACAGCTTAGAAGAAACTTGTAGTGATGTTATTCAGGCTTCAAGGTAGTTTCGGTTGTTAGATAAAACCTGTTTTACTCACTTAAATTTTACTTCTAAACCCTTTAACTTTTTATATACTATAACTTTAATATGTATCTCAAAACAAAATTATAAATCACTTACATATACCTTAATATAAACTTTCACTACACTTAAATCTTATGCCTTGTATTCAAACACCATAACTACAACTACAAATAATACGTAAAAATATTCAAAACAATTATTTGTCTAAACAAAATCAGAAACCTCTTTTTACCAGGTATTAGTCACAAATCCTAACCCTAAAAATAAGATCTGTAACCCATGACCAAGCGAAAGAAAGTCCTTTAAACATGTTTCAGAGTCATCACATGGGCAAAAGGGACAGGTCACACAACGTAGTGGGAAGTGGAAAGATGGACAATGAATTTGCAGTAGCCTGTAGCCCGGGGTCACCAGGACCCTGTCAATCTGGTGGGCCTCCAAGGGTGGCTCCCAACATCTCCCCCCTTTTTGTTTTTTAATATGAAGTCATGAAATTCTGTGTTTAGTTGGGAGATGTTATTCTTTAGGGGTTTGACGATTACAATCAGTCTTTAAATCAGCAGTTTTGGGCCTCACCAAGACATTTCTTCGAAGCACTGAAGGTGCACATTTCTTCACATATGAGAAGCCCCTTAGCTCCAGTTTTCTGGTCTTCAAGGCCTGCAGTCTTTTCTTTTCTTTTTTTTTTAATTCTAAAATACTTATTTCTAAAAACTAAAAAACCTTTAATCATATTGCTCAAGCCCCAAAATCATTATATCGTAATACCACATATATATACTTAATGAATCTTACTTTATTATACTAATTCTAAATCTACTATGTGTTGAACTTTTAATCTAAATCCTAAAGATTAATCTTATAAATGGCCTTAAATCCTAAGCTAGTAATTATTCTTTTTTTTTTTTTTGAGTTGGAGTCTCACTCTGTCGCCCAGACTGGAGTGCAGTGGCCGCTCCCGGCCACCACAGCCTCGACCTGCTGGGCTCCGGCGATCCTTCTGCCTCAGCCTTCCAAGGAGCTGGAACTACAGGCATGCGCTACCATGCCTGGCTAATTTTTTGATTTATTGTAGAGATGAGGTCTCCCCAAGTTACCCAGGCGGGTCTCGAACCCACACGCTCAGGCAATTCACTCACCTCAGCCTCCCAAGGCGCAGGATTACAGGCTGAGCCACCAAGCCCGGCTGTAATTATTCTTATAACTATGTTATTATACCTAATACATTTTTACCTAAATTCCTATATTATTATTAAATCAAGCAATCTAAAATCTTAAAGCGTTCATGACTCATGGAAGAAAGTCTCTTTGACGTGTTTCAAAGTTTAATCACAACGTGGGATGAAAAGGTCATAAATTGGAAAAACCAAACCATAAGGTGGGAAGTGAAAAGCAGGAACAATGACATTCTGAAGTTGACCACGCCAGCCTCAAGTTATACTATATTTGTCCCCTGCCAACACAAGGGCTCCATTGACGTAGGTGCTAAACAAGGTGGGGGGGAATGGTGTCGTAACTCCCAGGACTTCCTAGAGGCTCGGGGTCTTCGGCCCACCAGATTCTTAGGATCCGATAGGCCTCCATGGCCGGCTCCCAACAACAGAGCTTCTAGAAACCTAAGGAGGAGTCCCCCTCCACCTGAGCTCTGGCTTCATCCTCCAAGCAGCTTTCCAGTCCTCCCTTTCCAGTCCTCCCTTTCCCTGCTCCCTCAGAACCTCATCTCTTTCCTGACTTCAAATACACTCATGACTCCCAAATTCTCTTTCTTTTGTCACTCTGCTTCCTCTTGGCCATCTGCATCTAGAGAATTCACATTTTCCAAACTGATCTCACTCTTTCCCTTTCAAACCTAATCACTGATTCAAGATCTTTTTATTGAGCATCTATTTTGTGCTGGGGCTAAAGTAATGAACAAGATGAGCTTTTAAAGTCTGCTGTAAATTAGCCGGGCATGATGGAGTGGGCCTGTCCTTCCAGTCATTTGGAAGGCTGAGGTGGAAGGATCCCCTGAGCCCAGCAGATCGAGGCTGAGTGGCCATGGGTGTGCCACTGCCTTCCAGCCTGGACTACAGAGTGAGACTCTGACTCTAAATAAATAAATAAACTAGGCCATGCTCAGTGGCTCAGGTTGTAATCCCAGCACTTTGGGAGGCCGAGGCGAGTAGATTGCCTGAGCCTGGTGTTCAAGACCAGCCTAGGTAACTTGGTGAGACCTCATCTCTACAATAAATAAAAAGTTAGCTGAGCGTGGTAGCACATGCCTGTAGTTCCAGTTACTTGGAAAACTGAGGGAGAAAGATCGCCGGAGCCCAGCAGGTCAACACTGGGGTGGCCGTGAGTGTGCCACTGCACTCCAGCCTGGGCAATGGAGTGAGACTCCAACTCAAAAAACTAGATAAATAAATAAAAATAAAAATAAATTAAAAAATAAAGTCTACTGTAATAGTGCCTTTAGTTAACAATAAGGTATTGTTAACTGTAAACATTTGCTAAGAGGGTAACTCTCAAGGTAAGTATTTCTATTACACAAAAAACAAAAACAAAATGAAATAAAAATAAAAACAAAGGGACACAGGAAACTTTTGGAGGGGCTGAATATGCTTATTACCTTGTGGTGATAGTAACACGAGTGCATACATATTTCCAGATGCACAAATTGGCTATACTAATTACAGTCTTTTGTATGCCAATTGTACGTCAATTAATCTGCACACACAAAAAAGGAGAAGCTC